GGAGTCTGGGGGATGACAGATGGGACAACATAACCCAAGTTCACAGACCCTCCCTGCAGGGATCCCTGGGAGCAGGTTAGGCCGGCAGGCAGGATGGGGTTGACGGGCAGGCAGTCCCTGCCTCAGCGGTGTTGCATAAGCAGCTGCAGCCCTACACACATTCCCATAGTGACGGGGCTGGGAAAGGCTGGCAGTGGTGGCATCGCCATGGCACCAGCGTGGCCCACAGCTCAGTGGGCGTGGTGCTGGCACAGAGCAGCTCTGGGCTCTCACTGGACAGATATCCACCAGGCAGGGCCCCTCCCAGGCATCCAGCAGCCTGCGAGTCGGGTGGGAGGCAAACAGCCCAGGGCCCGCCTCTGGGGAAGGCCGAAGGGCCCTCAGCCTCGCAGCCCAGCAGCCGGAGCTCCGTGGGGTGTGGGGTGGTCATGGGAGCCAGTGCCGCACATGCCAGCCAGCCTGGCACAGGCAGACCTGACTCCGAGGCCCCGCCTTGACCCAGGCCAAGCCCTGACGCTGCCCACAGCCTGAGTCCTTTCTGCAGCCTCTTCCTCCGCCTGAACTTGGGCCCAGCTGGAATCTAACTAAGCACAGCCTCAGGCTTCAACCTGAGCCCTGCAGGAATCTTGACTTTGACCTTGACCTCAGCCTCAGTCTTCTGACCTCCTGCACCCCCTAGCACTAGGGCTGTGCCCTAGGGGTCTCACAGCGTGGAGGGGAAGATTAGGAGACCTCAACCCTGCTTTGGGCAGTGGGTATGCTTGCTGAGAACAGGGGCTTATGGGACTCAGGCCAGCAGGGCTGTGGGGGTTCAAATGTCAGAGGTCAGTTGGGGGTCAGAGCAGTCAGAGAAGTCTTCCTGGGGGAGGCGTGGTGGGTTGGGCCCACAAGGATGAGTGAGATTTGAAGAAGGGAAAGATCCGGGGACGAGGAACAGCTGACATGAAGGTGGGGAGGCCCAGTGCACATGACCTGTTTGATTGAGTTGGATCTTTCAAACAGAGACCATCCGTGTGTGTGTGTGTGAAGAGGTTTCTCTGGGTTTGGCTCTGCGTTGTTTGACCACAGGAAGTGTCCTGGGGAGAGGGTGGAGGAAGGCCAGCGGGGCCCAGTGAAAGCTCCCAGTGAAAGCCGAGGCCCCAACACAGCCTGGGTGGGAAGATCTCACAGGGCACACGTGAGACTCACATGCGTGTGCCCCCACCCAACCCCAGACCCCTGGTCCAGCTGCCTCCTCGACCAACCACTGTGTGTGGGCATCTCGCAATTAGTAGGGCTGCAGGCCAGCTCCTCCTGCTGGTCTCCCCGTTCTGTGTGTCTACCCCATCTGCCCAGCAGTTCCCACCGGATCCCATTAGGATATTCTGAAGCCTCAGCCTCCCCAACATCTCCAAATCCATCCTCTTGTCACCACGTCTCTGCTACGACCCCAGGGCTCCTGCCACAGACCAGTTGCTGTTGCCTTGTTAGCCTTTATGGGACACGGTGCACACAGTGGGGATAAAGCCAATCCTGGCACTGCCCGCTTTCTAACTTGACTTAGAAAAAGAATTCAAGTTCCCTTCTGCGGCCTGTGAGGCCCTGTGTGGCCTGGACCTGCCCACCCGCCAGCCTCATCTTCTGCCCTCCTCCCCCGTGCCTGGCCCTGGCCACACCCACCTTCTCGGGTTCCCAGAGTCTGGAGCCTGTGCTAGCTTCAGCACCACTCCTGCCAGGACACTCTTCCCCCAGCGCCGCCCAGGGCTGCCATCTTCACTTAGTCCCCATTCAGGGCAACGTCACCTCCTCGGGGAGGCCCGTCCTGACCACCTGGTGATGTCTCACACTGTCCTATTGCATTTCCTTGTTTTATTTCCTTCGTGGTACTGAGCGGTAATTGCAGTCCATTCTCGTTATTCACGGTAGTTATGTTCTATGAAGTCCCCGTGAACGCTGAGTTAGCAGATAAGGAACCCCAGCTCCTATGAGAAATACGGGGTTAGGCTCCCGGGAGGCTCTCGTCACAGCATTTAGTCAACGACTGACACAGAACCTTGTTTTCTGTGTGTTTCTGTTTGTAGACCCTTTATTTAATGTATCTCGTTGATTCATTGACGTTGAGCTCACGGCCAACAGCGCTGGAACCCACAATAGAAGGAAGCTACTTGAGCACCCGGGTTTTCTCCTGGAGGACGTCACAGCCTCCCTGCCTTAGGAACACTACACAGCACTACGCTCGGGGGGCCTTTTAAACTGCCAAATCGCCAAGGAAAAGCACAGAAAAGTTAAAAACGTGGCACTGGGTGGACTTCCAAAAGGACACTTGCTTACAGTCTGAGAGCTGACACAGGAAGGCAGAGCGTGGCCTTGTTGGACCTCAGCTGGGAACCTGTGCATCGGGCCACCAATCTCTTCTCCACTCTGTACATTTCTGAGAAGGACAGTGGAAGCACTTTGAGTGGTGACTGTGGGGTACAAATAAATGTCAGCTAGGAGGCAAATTCATGAGTACGGAACCTGCAAAAAATGAGCATCAACAGCAGGGTACGAGATATTTTCATGTTTATTGTCGAGATCCTCTTTGTCTTATTCACCGCTGTGCCCCCAGACTAAACAGGGTCAAGGTCAAGAGTCACCGTAGATGTCTCGTGAATGTTTATCGACTGACTGACCCGCCTCACATCCACACACTCAGTGCCTGCCCCACATACCCACACACTCACACACGTGTCTCAAAGCAGAAAAGATGGGGCATCTCTTTCTGGTGTTCCTCCCTTGGGGCCCACAGGCAGAGGAGAGAAGGAAGATTCTGGAAAGAGCAGGTAGGTGAGAGTTCTTGTCCTAAAACCTTCTGTTTCCCTGTCCTCCTCTGCTTACTGTCAGCCTGTCATCCATCACGGGGTAGGCTGTGCGTGCACGTGTGTTGTTAAACCCCCTCCTGGAGGAGCTGACTCGGGCACATACAGAATGCGTGCAGCTTGGCTGAGGTCCATCCTCGGGGTCCTGGTCCTGGAGGACCAGTGCGTGTGTGTGCACACGAGCGCCGTGTCCCCTCGTGCGCAGGCACGTGTGTGAGCATGTGCTGCAGCCCGGCCCTGCCGAGGCCCACCAACTTCCTAGCAGCTGCAGTGCTCGCTGCGCTGACAGGCCTGTAATCACGGGCAATTACTGAGCCCAGAACTAAAATTAAGGCTGCTGCCGCTGCCACGAGACCTGTTTACAAAGCCGAGCGCCCGGAAGAGCCTCGGGTGGAGGCTGTGCCGGGAGTTGCGACTTGTGGGGAGGACAGAGGTGGGGACTTGGCAGGGAGGCCACCGAGGGAGGAGGACAGCCTCTTGTATTTGTCACGGACCCACGGAGGGTCAAGCACTGTGCTGGTTGATTCCATGCTTCACTTGATTTAATCCTCGCAGCAGCCCTTGACCCGGTTGTACTGACGCCCAGCCTGGCCGCACAGAGGTGCAGTAACGAGCTGCAGGTCAGGAATCGGGTCACTAGCAGAGCCGGGGTCTGCACGCAGGGCTGGCTGACCCCAGGGCCAGACTGCGGGCAGGGAAAGGGGAGCCCTGGGGCGAAGTAGGGGCAGGTCCCGCAAGAGGTTTGAGTTTCCGGTTTCTAGTATTTGGCATTTGGTGTAGGGAACACTAGAAAGAAGCACCTGCATCCATAAATACTCCTCCACCCCACCTGTCACGTGGTCTGCAGCACACCCATGAACACTTCAGGGTGATGGTGGCCCTGTGCGAATCCACGTAGCCCTCCAAGGAGAAACACAGTGAATGGAGCACATGAACAGTGAGTCTTTGGGACTCCATTCCAGGTACGGGGTGGCCCCTCCCCCAAGCACAGCCCCTGACATCATGGGGGCTGGTCTACCCTGTGCTCATAAGGGGGGCCTGAAGGAAGATAGCGGAAAGTAGCACCAGGCACGGACTTGTATTCCCAGCTCAGGACCTTTTCCTGCACCCTGGGGCCCCGCACAGGCCCCCGGCCCCAGAAGGACCTGTCTGCGATGTTAGAAGGAAGAACTGCCCCCCTACTCCCCTGGACCAGCGTGTGTTGGGGGCATCAGGCAGGGCAAGTTTCCAGGGCAGGGAACTCCTGCAGAGGCCAGCAGTGAGGTGGACGGTGGTCCATGCTGTCTGGGAGGGCCCCTCTGGGTGAGCAGCAGCACTCCCAGCCCACAGGTCTCAAGAACAACCTGGTTCACTGACATGGGGGCCAGGGAGATAGAAAGCTCGACCCACAGGTCCTGTATGGGATATGTTGGCACCCCACCCGGCTGGCCTCCAGCCAGTAAGCGCCTTCATCTGACTGAGCAATAAAAATGACAGTAGTGCCTGGGACTGTTCTGGGTGACACGTGCGAACCCTTTGAGGAATTATCCTCCCCATTTTACAGAGGAGGAAACTGAGGCACAAAGAGGTTAAGTAGTTTGCCCGTGGCCGTATAGCTGAGAGGTAATGGAAGCAGGATTTGGACCCAGGCAACCTGGCAGTAAAGACTCTGTGCTAACCACTATGCTATATTGCCTCTCTCGGGTCCCCAAGGTTCCTTGGTCCTTCCCAGGCCAGATACACACAGTGAGGCTGTCCGCTTAGTGGCCATCTGGTCTCTGTCTGAATATGATCTTCCATGGTCCCCTGTGGGTGGCTCTGCTGGGCAGGAAGGTCCCCCTGGAGAGGGTCCCCCTGGAGAGGGTCAGAGCAGCCTCTCGGGAGCATCTGCCTCTTGGGTTTCCTTGCCAGGCCTCTGGGTGGCCCTGTGAGGACCTGAAGAGGACAGTCACATGGCGATGGGCATCCTCACCAGCCAGTCTTCCCCTCCCTGAGCCGTTCTCGAAAAGGCCAGAATGAACCCTCTGTGAGCCCAACCATGGACTGCATTCCGGCCAGCCCCGGGGCCGGCGCTTCACGTTAGCTGGTTATCTTTTTTGTGTTTGGGTTGTGAGCAGCACTTAACATTTTTAGTGAAATGAAAGAGAACAGAAAACAGACTGCATCACGCCCAGTGAGAGTGAGTACTGTTTCACGGAACTTTCGTTTCCATTTTACGCATATATGCACGTTTATGTGGAATCACAGGGCAAGATGTCTTTCTCGCCGTGGGGGCAGTAAAAACAAGTTTGAGAAACAGTCCCCTAGGTCACCTTTCTCTCTTTTCATGTCCTATTTGGGTTCCTGCATCAACCCCAGCCAGCCCAGGATCCCCCATTAGGCTGAGCCCAGAGGACCCCCTGCTCCCCCACTCCTGAGCCAAGCCCAGCCCGGGGTGGGGGGACACGCAGGGAGAGAAGTCGCCTCACTGGTTGAGTGATGAGGAGAGGTGCCGCTGTGTAACGTGCGTTGCCCGTGTGCCAGGCCCTGGGGGTGCATCATCTTTTAAGCCTCGTGAAGTCAGTAGCGCATTCTCTCCATTCCACGGATGAGGAAACCGAGGCTCAGGGAGCTTCATCTGCTTGCTCAAGGTCGTGCAGCTCACGCACATCCTAAGTGGGTTCAAATCCGTGTCTGAAGGACCCTCTCCACACCTGCTTGCGGCACTGCCTCTGGGCCCTGGGGACCCAGGTAAGCAGTGATTGCTATGTGCCTTGATCCTCCCACTCAACTCAGGGGTCACCTCCTCCTCCCTTCTGGACCCCAAATGGTGGTGACGTCAAGCTCCTGCGAACCCGTTCCCTGAGGGCCTGTGGGATTCTGCGGGTCTAATTGGAAGCAGCTTCTGACTTCTGTGACCCCAGGGCAGGGTGAGGCTTGCTGGGGCGTGGGGAGGGGACCAAGCGGAGGAGAGCCTGGATTCCACTCCACTGAGCTTGTTGAGCAATCCTCGGGCCTGCACATGGGCCCAGCCAGGCTGTCGTTTCTCCCTTTTCCTCTTCCCCAAACAACCCACAGCTGGCCGTGCAGGGCAAACGCCACATTCCCTGTGCTGCGGAGGAAAAATTATCTCACTGGAGCCACACTCCTTCCTAGAGCTGCTGGGAGCCCAGCAAGGCTGCCTCTGGAGCCTCTGGCTTCCCTCCCTCTGCTCTGGCCCAAGCCCCCCGCCCAGGGCTCGGCCCTCAACACTAGAATGTCCTGTCCATTCCCAGCCTCTCCCTTCTCAGAGGCAGGGGTACCAGAGTGAGTACTGGGTTTGGAGTTAGTCGGACCTGGGTTCATGCCAGGGTGGGATTCACAGAAGAATATGATGGCTATTCTACCCCCAATCCCGAAACACTGTAATCCAAAATAAACACAATTATTTGCCAAACTCTCCAGTTGCTCCTCATTTTCCTCAAAGTAAAATGCCAGGGGCCCCATGGCCGACACAAGAGTACAAAGGCCTGTGTTCTCTGCCTCTCTGGACTCTTTTCTTCTTTCCTTCACTCTCTCGGCTCAAGCTGTGCTGGCCTCCTTGTTGTTCCTGCCCCAGGGCCTTTGCACTTATCCTCTCTGCCTGGAGAAGTCTTCCCTCAGAAACCCCCGTGGCTCACCCCCTCACCTCAGTGAGGGGCCCTGACCCACTGGCAGCTTCCGCCCCAGCCGCAGCCCACAGCACGTCTTATGCCACCTTCTCACTTCACATTCTCTAGGGCACCGACTACTAAAATCCTGCATGACTTATCTACCTATCTTGTTTATTCTCTCTCTCTCTCCATTAGAATGTAAGCTCCATGGGGGCGGGGTTTGTGTTTAGTTTTTTCAACAGCGCCTGACACAGAGAAGGCATTAGGAAAAAGTTTGTGTAAATGAATTGAAATGGAATTAAAATGCGTAAAGAGGTCCAGAGTTCTGATTTCTCCCGTGACTTCCCTGAAGCTTCCGTGTCAAATTCTCTGAAATCAAAGTCATCTAAAGAAATCTTCCTTTGACCATCCTGTGTCGTTCTAGGCCTTTCTTTGGGTGGGATCCGGCTCTGATTCCTTGCCCTCCTGGGTGCCAGGCCCCGTTCAAGGCGCCATGAATACGGACGTGAACCAGAGACAGCACCCTGCGCTCCTGGAGTTCACAGCCTGGTGGGGAGGCTGACAAGGGACAGGCAGCCATGACAGAACATGGCAGGGAGCTCCAGGGGCTGCAGGAGGGGATAGTGTCCTAGTCGGAGAATGGCTCGCATGGGTCACTTACCTCCCAGAGCCTGTCTCCTCGCAGTGACGCTGAGCTTCTGGGTCAACCTGAGATCAACGAGCTGGGGGACACGGCAGCAGTGAGTGACTCGCTGACACAGGTTTTTAGTTTTGCTCTTCACAAAGAGGCCAGAAGGCAGAGCAGAGATTAGTAAGCACATTTTACTGATTTTACCATGTTTGTCCTTTCCTGTGTGTCCCTTCCTCCTCTTTTCCCAAATTTCAGTCACATCCAGGGCTCTTGAAGCTTGCGACCCTGTCTGCTTCATTTTGCCTCCTTCCTGCCCAGATCTTGGCAGAGCCCAGACCTAGCCTTGGTAAATTTGGGTGTTGGCGTTCAGAGAGGGAGAGCGACTTGCCCATGGTCACACAGAGAATCAGCGTTTGGGCAGGGGCTGGGACCCAGGCCTCCTGCCTCCCAGCCCGAGGCCCTTCCATTGCCAGACATGTGTTCTCTGGAGCCCCTGCCTCTGGCCTCGCTCCCCTAGAGGAGGCCATGACCCCTGACCCTGCTAAACCTTCATCTACTCCTCCAGCACCCCTGGGGCCACTAAACTCAGGGCTGAGGGCCTATGGGGTTGGCTGGAGGCGTGGGAGTCCGGGTATAGCTCGTTCTCACTGAGGTCTTTGCACGCCATGGGCAGGACTCCCCACTGCCCTTCCCCTCCGTGCCCTGCTCCCCCCTCTCTGGAGAGCAGCCCTGAGGGGGACCACAGTCCCAAGGCTCAAGAGCACTGATCTTCAGGGCTGGAGGGGCTGCCGTGAAATTCAAAGTCATACCACTCCCTGCCATACTACAGAGGAGGAAACTGAGGCCCAGAGAAGGCCAGAGCCTGCCCAGGTCCCAGAGGGCCAAAAGCAGGGCCAGGTCCAGAGTCAGAGTTCTGCGTCACTATCAAGTCTGAGAATATCTGCTCTTTTGGGACCTCTGGGCAGCATCCTGGTCTCCTGGTGTCTAGCAAGCCTTGAATGCCGCCAGTGACAGGAGACTCACTCCCAATAGGTGCTTTCTCTTGGTCTCTCTCCATTTTCTGTTCTTCTGACCTCTGAACCCAGGCTTTAGAGTTCAAGTTCCCTGCTTTTGACCCTCCTTCCCCTCCCAGCTCATGCTCCTAAGGAAGCTCACATGCTTCTCGTCTATCTGTGTTTTCAGAGGGGACTTCTGTCCTCCTGGCACCACCCCTCTACTCTAACCAGCACACTGGGCTCCAAGGCGACGTTTGCTCTTCCTTGTCATTCACCTGTTCAAACGTTTTTATTGAGCACGTGTTTTCCTACCTACCGGCTCCTGTTCCAGGCACTGTGGATACACTAATGAAAACGCCCATATATATCAGACCAAAGAAAGACTTGAACAGTCCCTGACTCAGACCCCCATCCCCATCACGGAGCCTCGAGCAGATGTGAGGCCGACAGCCAGCAGGGTGGACTATCCAGGCAATAGAGGGACAGACACCCAGAAAAAGGATTCAGAACGGAAGTGTGACGAGGTGCGTGGAAACTTTACAAACCACTGGCTCCTGTGGTTAGCTACGGTTCCCCCGCCAGGAAATTACAAAGTTGCCCCTTGACCCTCTTCTGGACTCAGAGGCCGAGGAGCCCTTAGGAACATCTGGAACATCTGTTAGCCATCCTCTCCCACTGAGGGAGATGGGGCCAGGGCTCGTGTGGGCCAGGGGTGGGCCCACAGAGGACAAGTCGATCCAGTGGGAGGCCCCACAGGCCTCTTCCTGCTCCTACGTCCCAGATATCGCTTCCAGAGCTGGGGCGGCCTGGCCCCTCCCCAGCCTCCCCACAAGACCCTTCTCATTCCTCCAGCCACCTCTGGCCTCTGCGAGTGGGCGAGTCCCGCTGGGCACCCCCTTCTGCAGGGCCCAGTGGGCGTGTTACCTCTGCTGGAGGAGCTCCAGGCTGAGGGGCAGGGGCACCCGCTGAGCCCATGGGAGCTCAGTCCCTGGGGACAGTCGGGAATGGGGCTGTGGGAGATTAGAGTGTGGGCCGGAGCAGGAGGAGGCCTCCTGCAGGAGAGGTCAGGGCTGGGAGGAGCTCGAACAGGAGAGGGCAATGTAGGACATGGCTGAGGCGGAGACAACAGAGCTGAGATGGACGGAAACTTGCCCCCAGCCCTGCTCCTGGGCTTGAAACTTGAGGAGGGGAAGTGTTATGGGCTTAATGGGGTCCTCCCAAATTCGTATGCTGAAGCCGTAACCCCCAGGACCTCGGGGTGTGACTGTATCTGGAGATAGGGCCATCACAGGGGTCGTTAAGTCAAAATGAGGTCATTAGAGTGGACCCTAAACCAGCTGAGTGGTGTCCTCATAAGACGACAGACACACACAGAGGGAAGACCACGTGAAGACACAGGGAGAAGACGGCCATCCACACTCCAAGGAGAGAGGCCTCAGAAGAAAGCAACACTGTCAACCCCTCGATCTAGTGTTCCTGGCCTCCAGGATCATGAAGAAATAAGTTTCTGCTGTTTAACTCACCCTGTCTGTGATACTGGTTACAGCAGCCTGAGCGAAGGAATGCAGGTGGAAAGCTGTTTGCACACGGCCCCGCCTTTGTCTCGAGCATGGGCCCTTTCAGTTCCCATGGAGATCCCGTTGTCCAGACGCTCTGCCAGGAAACAGACAAACACACCTTTGGGATCATACTCCTGGTTTATTACTTCCCACGGATTAGAGTCAAAACTGGGGCAGCTGGAGAGGTTGATATTCTTCATAGAGACAAGGCAGGAAATCAGTTCTCATTGTGAGTTGTATTTGCTTCTAGGAATGTAGGAGAAAACCAGACACAGCATTGCCAGAACAGAGACAGCAGCCAGGAGGAGCAGCCATTGCCTTCCTCGTGAACGTGTAGGGGATGGAGGGACCTTCTCCCCACCTGGAGTCAGCAGGAAGTCTACAAAGAAGAAGAATTCGTAAACGTCTAGCAAATGCCTGAGACAGCTCAATGTACAAAATTCTAGGATGCAGTGGGGTGCCGAAACTTCTTAATCTTGGGGGAAGGGTGTGTGTCTGTGGAACAATTACAATATTGAACCCTTTTCTATCTCAGACATTACTGACAGGCTGTATGTTCTAAGCATGTTACATGTGTCATCTTAATCAATCCTCATAAAAACCCTATGAGGTAGACCCTATTGGCACCCCCATTTTACATATGGGAAAACTAAGGCACAGAGAGATTACATGATTTGGCAAAGATTTCACGCCTGGTAAGAGGGAAGAGCAACAACGTCAGGTGGAGGAGAGACTTGAAGAGAAGAGAAGGGAGAGGTCAGGGCACAAGGGAGCAGCCACATGGGCTGGTCTCGGAGTCTTGCCCCCCAGTTTGGAGGGACTTTGGGACACTTACTGGAACCCTTCAACAAAGAACTACTTAACTCTTCATCGGGGCCCAGAGAGTATGTAAGCTGAAGATAAGCCCTACAAGACTATTAACGAGATAATAAGAAATGTCAAAGTGGAGCATCATAAACAATGGTGCGCGTATCTTCAACATTGGGGGACAACTTAACAAAACATATATCCATTACCCACTCTTGGTGTATTGCCAAAGCTTCTTCTTTGAGCGGGAGTCCGCTGACTGGAATTTCAATTCGTCTATTGTTTTTTCGTAAACCACAACCACGGTGCCTCATCTTTGGTCTCCTGTTCTGGTTTCTTTATAGAGTAACGAGACCCTGGAGACCCTTGTTGGGGTGTCATAAGGGCTGGGGACACAGTCTCTGGCTCTCTTTGTTTCTGTGCACAGAGTGGGATGGCCCTTGCATGTCCGCGTGAGGTTAGTTGCGGCCGTAGGTCTTACCTGGACCGGCAGAATGTAGGAAGTGATGGGGCCACTGCTGGGCAGAGACTTTAAGAGCCAGCACATCTTCACCACAGGATCTTTTCCTTCAGCCTCGGTCCCTGGCAGAGGTCCAGATATGGGCTGGACCATCAGTCTGGGGCCTGCAGCAGAGCCCCTGCTAACCGTGACGGCCACGGGGCATGAATAAGAAGAAAACACCGTGTGGTTTCAAACCACTGAGGTTTGGGGAATTATTTGTCACTGCAGCCTGGCCTATTTCCTCCCACCTGACACGCTCAGGAGGTAATTGGAGTCCAGTCTTAGTCAGGACCTTGAGATGTATTTAGATCTATTTCTCCAGGGTTCTAGTATGGTCTCACTCGGACCTCATTTCACAACAATGCTTTCTAGCTATTTGCTGTTACTGTGAGATACCCAGGCACCCCAGCCCTTATTCATGATGTTGTTTCTGTGGTGAAAATGTGCAGCTCCAAGGAGATACCCACTGTGCATGCACAAAGGCAGCACCCATGAGTATGGTGATCTGGGGCACCCTGAGGGCAGGAACAATGCCCACCCCCTCTCCCCCCTCTTGAGAGAGACAATTCACCATGTGCCATGGGCATTGCTGGAAATTCCCGCTGGACATGCCAAGAATGCAAGGTCCTGATCACCCTCTACCTGGGCCACTCCTCAGGGTCATTTTCGCCACGAGCAACCTTGACAGATGAGGTAGCATCTCCCACCAGGCAAAGAGCAGGTTTCCTTCCACTTTCTACAAAAGTGGGGAACCTCCAAACTCAGTGTTCTCTCCTGTAACACAACCCGCTGAGAGGCCTGCCCATAATGGGCCCCTCCCATGGCCTTGGTGGGACTTGGGTGGCCCAAGAGAACCACAGCAAGCCACCATGAAGCTCTGGCTGCTGCTTTTGCCATGAGTAGCTAAGTCCTTTGTCCCTGACCCCGGGAGTCTGGTATCTTTGGCAGCATCCACCATACTGCAGGCTAACCCGTGATTTTGTAAATGGGGTAAAGTCTCAGACCCTGCACTGTTCTTGACACTCCCAACCCCAGCTCAGCACAGGACTGGGCACGTCGTGGGCAGTGAGGACATGTACTCCTCGCTCGCTGAGCTCGGCATCCGGGAGTCTCAGGGCGGTCTATTCCATGCCTAGTTCTCTGGTGGCCATTTGACTTCCTGGGGCCTCAGCTTTCCCCTCTGCAATGGAGGCGACAATCCGGGACCCCCAGTTCTGCTCGGGGCTGTTAGGTTTGGGAGTCTGGGGGAAGAGGCCTGGTGTTCTCCGGTCATCACCGGCTGATTTCTGTGTTCTCTTGAGATGAGGCCAGCAAACTTGGACTCCTCCCAGAGAGGCTTAGGAAAGAGGAAGGAAGAACTTACTGTTGGTGCGAAAGGAGGAACGCAGCCAGAAGAGATGCAGTTGGCTGCGGAGTCTGCCCTTCCGAAGATCCACACAACCGGGATGGGGCTTGCATGTTCTCATGAGTCGGGGCTGGACTGTGTGCCTCCCAGTGCTCTGTTTGGAAGGGTGGACATGACACCCACCTTCAGGGAGCCGATGGGAAGGACTTGCCTTTGTTTCCCGGGAAGGATTTGGGTTTGCTTCATCAGGGCAGCGAAGGGAGATAGAGACCAGAAACAAAGTGACACGCGTGTGCTGTCTCTCCCTAGGCTGTGCTGGAATTTGCTCCCAGATAAACCCATAGCAAAGCCAGCGTGCATTCATGCACTTCACAGTTAATAAATCTAAAGAAAGTAATTCGGTGTGAAGTTGAAAAAAAAAGGGAAGGGACAATTATTTGAGTAGTGTCTTTGATGTGGCCTCAACGACTGCCCCGGGCGGGGGCACATATGCCCCTGCATCCGTTTGCTACACGTTAGGGAAGGCGGCTGGCTTAGGGAAGACCGGTTAGCGTGTGCTTGCAGGTTGGATGGGGAGAGAAGAGGCCGTGGGTGGCTGCAGCCAGTCGAGGGAAGGAGGTGGGGGCCTGAGCTAGGCAAGAGAGGAGACGAATGAGGGGACACGATGAGGTCTGCTTCTCAGTAGGGGGTGTGGAGGCTGACTGGCTGTGGGGACCTGCTTCCCCTCATCTACCACACCTGGCTGAGGGCTTCCTTTTCACAGAGGGTTCTTGGAAAGTTGGCCCCTCTAGTCTCTGGTCCTCAGGGCAGGGGGTCGGGCCAATCTCAGGAGCCCAGCCTCCCTGCCCCACACCAAGGAAGGGCCTGTCACCAGGAGAAAAACAACGCTCCGGTGTCCGAGTCCTCATTTCACTTGCAGCTGGGCGCTAATCCAATTGCTGGCTTTAACCTAATTCTCCGTTGATGCTCGAGTCCTTTGCCTGCCGATATTAAAACTCTTTTCATTTAATTGTGGAGAAGATAGATCCTTCTCGGCCGTCAGGTGGTAAATATAGACTAGCTGATGTGTAGCTCTAATTTCTTTCCTGGCAGGCCTCCTGCAGCTCTGAGTAATTGGGGACCAAGACACTCTGGAAGGAAGGGGCCAGGAAGGAGAGGAGAGAGAGGCGGGCCGGGGGCTGGGAACTTGGCATGGTCAGGAGGTTACAGATCAAAGGCAGTGGGGCCTGTGTTCTCATCTTGATCAGGATGTCCCTTTCTACAGGGCCAGTCACTTCTCTCCCAAATCTCTCATGTGACTGGCATCCTGACATGTTGCATGAGAATTGAATGTTTCCGAACCATGAGTAACCAAGGTGGGCGCTGTCCCACTGTAAAGAGTATGAGAGGTCATGGGACCCCCCCTAGAGTTGGGGGCAGGGAAGGGTGGTCCAGATAAGCCCTCGTGATCTCATCACAGAGAGGTCCCCTTTAGTCTCTGTGCAGAGTCACAAGGAGCCCCACAGAGTCATGGCTTTTGATGCACTGAGACCCTTTGAGACATCTGAGTGCAGCGCCCTTGTTTGGGGACCACACCTGGTCTCCCAGGAAGGCAAAGAAGAGTTGGTGACAAAGCGCAGGCCTCTTGATTTCCAGCTCAGCGTGGAACGTGATGGCTGTCCTGTGTTCCCTTTGGGAGAGGGCGCCGTATCACAGTGAGACCCCAGCAGCCATCGTTAGCAGGCTCGGGGGCCTCTTCCATCCACCCAGCAGAGGCCACCTGAAGTCGCACCTGCCCATCTGCTGCTTTCCCTCCCCTTCGCCACACGTATACAGGGAAAGGCAGGACAGACGGAGACCGTGGGGCTAGGCGGTGGGTCAGGGGCAGGGCCCCGGCCTGTTACCGACTTCACACCTGGTCACAAGGAGGCGGGAAGCATCCCGGGAAGAACCACTGGTCACCAGCGACTGACCTCTCTGGCGGCCCAGCCCTGGCAGTGGCTTTCCACCAGCTCACAGCTTGTGGAGCATCCCTGGGCTCTGGAGGACACAGCATCTACTCCCTGGGGAGGGCTGCTGCTTCCTCTTGGCCACCTGCTTGGCTCCCAGCAGCTCCAAGCTCCTTGTGCCTGACCACAGGGGACCTGAACTCTTTAGACTGGCCTGCTTCCCCTGTTAGAGGCTTCGCTGCTCCTCAGCTCCCGAACCCCTCCCCTCTGCCACCCCCAGTCACAGGCAGGTGGGATCCCAGATGGCCCTGTCCTCCCCTGTTTCCCTTCCTGCCTCACAGCAAGGCGCACGGCCAGCAGTTTCTGAGGCTCCTCTCTCTTGAATCCCTGGGCGATTCGTGGAGCTCCGTCCACTTCTGTCCCGGACACTCCAGGCCTCTCTCACTCCACCCCAGCTCCATCCCCAAGACCTGCTCCTCCCC